TTTAACTTTTAATTAAAAAATCGTTTATGATTTTTTGTCATTCTTATATTTTTGGATTTTATCATTAAATTAAAAAAAAATGATTTCAGATTTTTTTTTTAGTTTTGTCATTTTTGGTTTTTAACCTTTAATTAAAAAACGATGGCAGAGATTTTTGTCTTTCTTCTACTTTTGGTTTAATTTTTATTCAAAAAATGGTTGCAGATTTTTTTGTTTTTCTTCTATTTTTGGCTTTTAACCTTTTATTAAAAAATGATTGCAGTTTTTTTTCTTTCTATTTTTTTGGTATTTACCCTTTAATTAAAAGAAATGATTGCAGATTTATTGTTTCCCTTCGATTTTTGGCTTCAACCTTTATTTACAAAAGTGATTGCAGAGATTTCTTTCTTTATTCTATTTTTGGATTTTAACCTTTTATTAAAAAATGATTGCAGTTTTTTTTCTTTCTATTTTTTTGGTATTTACCCTTTAATTAAAAGAAATGATTGCAGATTTATTGTTTCCCTTCGATTTTTGGCTTCAACCTTTATTTACAAAAGTGATTGCAGAGATTTCTTTCTTTCTTCTATTTTTGGATTTTAACCTTTTATTAAAAAATGATTGCAGTTTTTTTTCTTTCTATTTTTTTGGTATTTACCCTTTAATTAAAAGAAATGATTGCAGATTTATTGTTTCCCTTCGATTTTTGGCTTCAACCTTTATTTACAAAAGTGATTGCAGAGATTTCTTTCTTTCTTCTATTTTTGGATTTTAACCGTTAATTAAAGAAAATGATTGCAGTTTTTTGTCTTTCTTCTATTTTCGGTTTCTCACTTTTAATTAAAAAAGAATTGTAGATTTTTTTCTTTTTTCTATTTTTGCTTTTTAACCTTTAATTAAAAAAATGATTGTAGTTTTTTTGTCTTTCTTTATTTTCGGTTTTTAACGTTTAATTAAAATATGTTTGTAGAGTTTTTGTCTTTTTTCTTTTTTTAACCTTTAATTAAAAAAAATGATTGTAGATTTTTTGCTTTTCTTCGATTTTTTGTTTTTAACCTTTAATTAAATAATGATTGCAGACTTGTCTTTCGGCCATTTTTGGTTTTTAATTTTTAATTAAAAAATGATTGGAGATTTTTGTCTTTCTTATATTTTTGGTTTTTGAACGTTACCTAAATGTGATTATAGATTGTTTGTCTTCCTGTCATTTTTGTTTTTTAACCTTTAATTATAAATTGTTTGCAGGTTTTCTGTCTTTCTTCGATTTTTGTTTTTTTAACCTTTAATTAAAAATGATTGCAGAATTTAGTCTTTTGTTCTATTTTTGGTTTTTAAACATTTAATTAAAAAATGTTTGCAGAGTTTTTGTCGTTCTATTTTTGTTTTCTAAACCTTAATTAAAAAAAATGATCCCAGATTCTTTTGCAGTTTTGTTATTTTTCGTTTTTAATATTTAAGAAAAAATTGATTGCAGAAGTTTTTTTTCTTTCTTCTATTTCTTTTTTTAACTTCTAATTAAAAAATGGTTGAAGTTTTTTTGTCTTTCTTCTATTTTTGGTTTTTCACCTTTAATTAAAAAAAATGAGAGTACGTATTTTTGTTTTTCTTCGATTTTTGGCTTATAAACTTTTATTAAAAAATGATTGCAGATTTTTTGTTTTTCTTTTATGCTTGTTTTCATTCTTTAATTAAAAAAATGATTGCAGATTTTTTGTTTTTCTTTTATGCTGGTTTTCATTCTTTAATTAAAAAAATGATTGCAGATTTTTTGTTTTTCTTTTATGCTTGTTTTCATTCTTTAATTAAAAAAATGATTGCAGATTTTTTGTTTTTCTTTTATGCTTGTTTTCATTCTTTAATTAAAAAAATGATTGCAGATTTTTTGTCTTTCGGCCATTTTTGGTTTTTAACCTTAAATTAAAAATGATTGCAGATTTTTTGTCTTTCGGCCATTTTTGGTTTTTAACCTTAAATTAAAAATGATTGCAGATTTTTTGTCTTTCGGCCATTTTTGGTTTTTAACCTTAAATTAAAAATCATTGCAGATTTTTTGTCTTTCGGCCATTTTTGGTTTTTAACCTTAAATTAAAAATGATTGCAGATTTTTTGTCTTTCGGTTTTGTCTTTCGTTTTTGTCTTAACCTTTAGTTAAAAAAATGATGGCAGATTTTTTTGTCTTCTATTTTTGGTTATTAACCCTTAATTAAAAATGATCGCAGATTCTTTTATAGTTTGGTTATTCTTGGTTTTTTAACCTTTAATTAAAAAATGGTTGCAAATTTTTCTCTTTCTTCTATTTTCGTTTTTTAACCTTTAATTCATAAATAGTTGCGGATTTTTAGTCTTTCTTCTATTTTTGGTTTTAACCTTTAAGTAAGAAAAATATTGCAGATTTTCATGTATTTTTGTCATTTTTAGTTTTTTTTAACTTTTAATAAAAAATGATTGCAGAGTTTTTATTTTTTGTTCTATTTTTTGTTTTTAATATTTAATTAAAAATGATTGCAGAGATTTTTCACTTTCTACTATTTTTGGTTTTTAACCTTTAGTCAAATATAATTGCAGATTTTTTGTCTTTCTGCTATTTTTGTTTTTTTTACCTTTAAATAAAAAAACGATAACAGATTTTTTAAAATCTTATTTTGCAAGCATCTTTTGCATGAAGGCTAAAAACCATTAATTTGAAAAGATGGCTGCGGATTCTTTCAAAATGAATGCTAATTCACTGCTTTTTTTTTCATTTCTTTTTTCAGTATATATTTTTATACTTTTTAATCTTTAAGGAATTTTTGTTGTTAACAAGAACAAGGAATGGATTGTTAATTTGTACGCCTCCAAGACGGAACTGCTCTCTTGTAATTGTCAGATCGAACCCTTTTTTGCTTTCTATCCGCATGGCTGATGCTAAACCTTAAGGTGAGAACCTTATTGCGCCTTCTCGGACTAACGTTTTTCGTTGATATGAAATGGAACGATTATATTGAATCAATTGCTAGGTTTTCTGCTAGGAAGGTTGGTTCACTGTGTCGTACTAGACAATTTTTTCTCACCAGAATCTATCTTACATATTTATAAGTCTGCCATTCGTCCTTGCTCTGAACATTGCTGCCACATATAGTATGGCGTTCCTGTTATACGTTTAAATATTCTTGATAAAGAAAATTCTGCAGTTTTATTAGTCCTGACCTGACATCTCGGCTTTAGTCCCTTTCCCACCGTCTTGACGTAGCTTCCCTGTCTCTTTTCTATAAATACTTTCATGACAATTGTTCTGATGAACTTTTCTCTATGGTACAGAGACTTTATTAATTTAAGCGTCGTACTGCTTGGGCGTCAAGTCTCATCATTTTACAGTGAAAATGGCTAGATGTAACCGTAAGTTCTATGCTAATAGTTTCTTCAATCGCACTTATCGCTTGTGGAACTTTCTTCCAGCTTCTTACTTCCCAGCCAACGTTGATATTCAATAATTTAAATACCATTCAATAGATATCTTCAATCTTCTTTTCTAGTTCTTTTATTGTTCTCTTGCCGTAATACTGCTTTTTCTCTCATATTCTGTAATACCCAGTAGTACCTTGTGTCTTAGTGGCTTTATGCCTTATTTAGGGTGAAATGGTAAAAAGAACTCCCTTCAGTCCAATAGAATTCAATATGATAGCTTTATTTACTATTTCATGTTGTTGTGGTAGGATCTACCTAATTTGCATAGTGGAGTACCGACCATATAAATATGGTTGGTACCGGGAAGACGGCGGGGAGGAATCAAGAGATTCAATCCAGAGACTCTGCCGACTGCGACTAAGTCAACACATTCTCCAGGAACGGTCTTCCCAAGAATATACAAAAGACTATATGTAAATATTGTATACACTTTCTTGTTTCAATACATTTTGTTCTAAGTACATTTTGTGCTGTATTATTATTCCATGCATTAGTCAAGTTTCAACACATGTTCAGTAAAATATGTAGTTACAACAAGAATTGTATTACTCAACCGACAGCTAAGAATCCTCCATGATGATAATATATATATATATATATATATATATATATATATATATATATATATATATATATATAGTTAGTTAGTTAGTTCACACTTATCCCTTATTTTAACAGGAGTAGTGGTTTATCACTTGTTTCCTGTTTAGGATTGGGCTTTCGGTTCATTATAAAGTCTACATCAACTGTATACTTCTAACGTCTACGCTTAAACATTGAAATTTTATTTACTATATATTTATTTATTTTTCTTCAATAAGAGTAAATAGGTTTGTTTATTGTCCGTTTCATAGTCCTCCCTGGTCTTTTGAAGAGGTTTATCGCTTGTTTCCTGTTTAGCATCGGGTTTCCGATTCCTTCTAAAGTCTTCTCACTTTCTGTCACTCCCAGTAGCCCCTTGCGTCTTAATGGCATTATCGCCTCACTTAGGCGTAAATTGTTTAAAGAAACAAAACTATCCTTTTCACTAGACACACATGCGTTGATAACCGTCTCAGTAACAGTACTTTTTTTTATATAATAGAAGGCTCAAGAGTCTCTGAAGATAGAGGTTTACTGTTTTTATATGAGCGTAAGAAAAGGCAAGAAGTGAAGTTCATGGAATTATGTTGTAAAGATAACGGTTAACCCTAGGCTTGAAGAGGTCAAGATTGTAGTGATTGGAAAACATCCTGCCGGGATTTCCACAAAACAGCAGTTCTTACTAAATCCAAACGAAGGATTATCCCTTATACCCCATAATGATAAATGTCGTATATTAGGTTTTAACAAAAACTTGTACTCTCACCTGCATATCATCGTAGAGATGCCAAACACCACCCAATGCTACATTATTTCTCGCCTCTTGCACCTGTTGAGACAGTACAGCAAGAGTTGTAGGTGGGCGTCTTTTAGTTATACCCCATGCATGTTCAGTAGGAGACAGATATGGCAAGCTTTCCCGGCTGGGAAAGTTCTCGAACATTTTGTCGGGCATCGCTGCAAGAGTGCTTCGCTTTCCTGTTGCAAGAACAGACTTACGGTTATATCTCGGCGAAACATCAATTCTCACACGATCACCGAAGTTAAGCAGCGTCTAGTCTAGTCAGTACCTAGGTGAGTGACCGATTGGGAATACCAGGTGCTGTAAGCTTAAACGTGTGAATGGTCTAATGGATAACGGTTCGGAATTGAAAATCGAAGAGACGAATTCCAATTTCAGTCGTGATTGTTATATTCTCTCACGCGCAGATATTGCTGGGGAAAGGAATAAATCCACCACTTATACCCCTAGCTATGGGTTAAATAGTAGAACTTATATTAGTAAAAATCATTATTATCACCAAAGATTTCTTACAATCTAAAAATATTTTCTGGCTTTAAATAACCTGCAAAGGGTTGATAAGCCGTAAAAAACCAATTATGCAAACAATGTTGCAAGGATGGCAACAGACTAGGCTGAACAATGTTTTGAACGTATAATCTTCCTTCCGCAAACATGAAAGGCAAGCTATAGTTGTTGCTTGTGGTACCATGATGCCATGGGCTGGGCCTGTTTGCCGTGGGTGAATACATTCTGAAAAATGTCGCTCCATAGATATTAATTACAGAACCTGCTCTTATCCCTGAACGATCGCATCAGTACTGGAGACATGCACTATGACACTGTGTCGTGACTACGTCTCAAAAGGATTTAATTAAATAAAAGGAGCACGTGTACATCTCCGTGAAATGACACCTGTTAACATTGGATCTGGGAGACACTTCTGATATAACGGTTGTCCGAAAAACCATTTTCACAAAGAAGGCACAAAATGTTATTGTTTAAAAAGCTAGTTGTGGTCAGAATTCCGTGTCGAAGAATCTCACGAATACATCGTCTCGACGAAGAAGGTGTGAGCCAAAGATGGACGACTATGGTCTCGACAGAACCACCAAGACACTTTGACATCTCTTTTTCTTCTGTGACATCTCCCTTCAAAATGTAGGCGATCATGTCTCTCCACAACTTCCGGTGATTTGGAGCTCTGTAAATTGTGTCTTTTTAGCATCTCCCCCCTGTCACTATTCGCATAAACTTGACCTGCTACTTCCCCCTGTTTCTTTTTTATCGCCATGTCCTGTGAATGTCAAATTTTCCAAACCCTCTTTCCTCATTATATGACCTAGAAATTTCAACTGTAACTTTCTGATTATATGTGTCCGTTTTGCTTCCATTTTTCCTTAAAATGTCTTCGTTGGTATTCTTAGCATCCTTCTGTAAAATAACATTTCTGTTGCATCAAGTCCTCTCTTCATCCGTAAGGAAATTATCTGAAGTTACCATTTTTTTTAAAGTGTTGTTTAATATATAAATTTGCACGCTAATACCTTTAATTACTCTAAACAAACAGAAAGATAGTTACCATAAATAAAAAAAAGAGAGAAGAATTTCTTTTTTAAAGCAAGAGGAAATTAAGCTAGCAATTACAGTTCACTCCAGCAGTGTGTACCACAAACATCTAATAGATTCTGGATTTTATAGATTATATTTTTATTTGGAACCCATAGCTAAGTTCCAAAAATCAAAACTTGTGGAAAAATATTTGCGGACGAGAAAAATTACAGCTATCATAAGAAAAACGCCGATGAAACAAAAACATATTAGCGATGTGTAGAGCGATCTTGTAACTCTGTTAAGCAATCATTGCATTTTAAAGAAAAATAAACTTTGTATTTTTTAAAATTTTATTCCTTTTTTAAAATTTTATTCCTTTTTTAGAAATTTATGATTACTACCTATGCTTTTTTCAAAATTTATGGTAATTTTCTTTAAAAGCTTTAAAAAATTATCAGAGGTACGCAGTTATCCGGGGACACATTTTTTTTAACGACGTAAATGTCCAGGGCACAATTGTCTGGTACGCAATTGTCCGGCGCGCAAATGTCCAGTACGCAACTGTCCTAGAATCTTTTTTTTAATCTCTAACTTTGGAATAAAAAAGAAACAAAAGTAGTAGTAAGTTTATCAAAGAATAATACGTATATATGCATTCTGTGTACGGGTGTTTATCAGCTAAGTATCTAGAACCAAGCCTTTTCTCAAAAATAGCCAATGTTGACAACGGTTGATATAGGCCAAACAGAAGCCGAAGTAGAGTGTTATTCAATCGTACAAAGTGCTGTTTTCTAATGAAAGCAAGTTTTGTATTTCGTTCAGAAACCAATATTACAAAGTTTGGAGGAGAGCTAGGGTCCAGGAAATCTCAGTTGTTTGAAATTCAGCCTCAAGTTTCTGTGGTAAGTGATGGAATAAGGTATTGAGTTATCTGCAGGTATAGGGCCACTGTGTTAACTTAGGGTCTCAACAGCGTTCTAGAAGGAGATTCTATAGCATTCTACGATTCTGTGCGCGGAAAAGATAGTTGGTGATACAGAATTTACATTCCAGCAGGCTTTGGCTCTTGCACATGACACTCATCGACCACTGCTTGGTTTAAGGATCATCTCATCAATGTTATACTTTGACCTGGTAATTCTACTAAAAATTAAGGTTCATAGTAAAGATGAGGGACAGGGTAACAAGAAAGTTGTCACTTGTGATGGAAAGAGGCTGAAAACTTAAAAAAAAATGAATTCAACACATCGAGGATTTTACACATATTTATATGAAGAACAACATAATACAAAAATGAGAAAAATGTACATGCGTTTATACAAATAGATAGTGCTCAAAAAAAATAAAGAAACGCATTTATGGAATTAGCGGTTATGTGTGTGTGTGTGTGTGTGTGTGTGTGTGTGACTGCGCTACGTGGTTTGGTGAAATCAAGTAGTCGGCTTACCCGGGGACTAAGCAGCCTCCTCTGAGAGGTAAACTGGACACGTTTCCTCGTTAGCACATCACGTGACTGAGCGAGAAGATGAAGAGTGTTTAGGTCTTTTCTTTTCTTTTTTTTAACCGTTGATTATTGTGCCACCTATCAACTGTTAAACGAATTCCCGTGGCTGATAAAATGGGGGTAATCCCACAGTAAACTTGCATCCTACCAATCGTGCCCAACTTAAGTCTGCTCTAATGTGTTCAGTTTCTAGTTTACAAAAATCTCCACCGGGAGCTTTTACAGATACCTAATAATTGCATATGAAATATAATTACAGACACGAATAACACTGTTTCTAAATTTCAATTTTTAAAATTCAGATATTATCCAGAGAGCCAACTGTTCTTTCTTGTAATTTCCCCGAAAAATAAATATCCTCAAAACCAATCGTTCCCCTCCCACACACACAAAAAAAAAAACCAAAACAAAAAAAAAAAAAAAACGCAAAACAGACACCGTAAAATGATCTTGTAAAATAAACAGTTGATAAACAAGCGGTTACACAAGATTTATTAGTGATAGCAAAATAGTTTTATATATTCATATTTATTTGTTACTTAACTGAATGATGATGGAAATACTGTAGACTCTGCAATTTGTCCATTAATTGAGATGGCGCCGCGGAGATGAAATTACAACGAAGCGCCTGCTCGAATCTTGAGTGGCAAGGGACACTCATATGGCGAATAAATTGATTTCATTTGCATTTGTATCGCTTGATTGCATACATTCCATATTTTAATGAATTATAAAGATGTTCTTTTTTTCATAATTGGTTTTTGTTTCTTGAAATTACTCTCTCAAATCTTCTTCTTTGTTTCCTTTCCGTTTTCTGTATTTTCTTCTTATTCTCCTGTTCCCTCACGGTGGAGTAATGGATAGCGGCTCGGATTGAGGAATCAGAAGGTCGAGTTCGAATTCCAGTCGAATCCATTACATTCACTTACGTGCTAATACCCTTGGGAAATGTATGACTCCTTCTTCTTCTATGCATAAATAGTTCTATATGATTCTATAGCCTTGGATGGCAACTGGTCTACAGCCGAAAGAAATGGCAACCTACTGCGGGAAAAATCTGCCTCCTCAGTCAGTATCGAAAGCTACATGATCGCCTAAGCGTGTATCACGCATGGCACATAACTGACTGATCACCTGTCAGCGAGACGATCCTGAAAGAACTGAAGAACACCAGGATTTATTATTGGTGGATACAACCTTAACAGCATAAAGCATACAAATGTCACAGTGCTGGTAGAAAGCATAAAAAGAAAACTGCAGGAATTCCTGCAAAAGGTAGTAAAGGAAAAGGAATAAACATTAATTGTGAGGAGACAGAATGAACGAATCTCTCAAGATACGAACTACAAAAAGCATTTATGAAATTAGCGGTTATGTGTGTGTGTGTGAGACCGCGCTACGTGGTTTGGTGAAATCAAGTAGTCAGCTTACCCGGGGACTAAGCAGTCTCCTCTGAGAGGTAAACTGGACACGTTTCCTCGCTTGTACATCACGTGACTGAGTGACAAATTGGAAATTCTAAATTTTAAAGGCATATATAGAAATTCATTGGAACTGATTTTACTATAGGAATGCATTACACTTATCTATTAAACAAAAGGCACCCAAGCATTAATTCAATTTAATGATTCCATATATAGTGAGAAAACAAATACTAAAAGCATTAAACAGATATTTCAAAACTTTCATGCACTCTATTGATTATATATATAATGACACAGCAAATATTAAAAGCATATATAGAAATATATTGGAACTGACTTGACTTGACTTGACTACAGGAATGCATTATAATTAATTAAACAAATAACATTCACTCGTCCTAATGATTACATATACAATGACGCCGAAAATTCAATCAAATTTCTGTTTTAAATAATCTCAGCTCTTGTGTTTTTGACACGGTTCTAAGTACGCCAGGTATTATGGGCAAGAACCCAAACCTTCATTTTTTACATTTTTTTCAGTTCCTACTATTGGCCTGATTGAATACAACACCCTTCCGATTGACCAATTCTGAACACTTTACATCGATTTCCGTCTTTGAACGGTACAATTGCGTATGGTACTTGTCTAAATTCAACGCCTGATGTTACAGAAGGAGCTGTAATAAACAATGGCCTTCAAATCTCACCAGATAAACAGCATCATCTTCTTCGGATATAGTCCAGATTTTGGAGGGGCGGTTCATTTTGTTTTCCTTGTTCGCTCTACATTGTTGTAAAGAATCCATTTTTCATCGCCTATAAATGAATCGTTTTTGTTGCGTT